TGACCAGCTGATTATGAGTATGAGTCTGTGGTCTGGGAGAGAGTCCTGTAACTCTCTGTCTGCAAAATACAGTATATAATGACCAATGTTGGGCAGTTAATTAAATAGTTACTTCTTCAAAAAAAGTTACTGAGTTATGCAAACAACAAAGTTTTTTGCAGCTGTTTACCTAAAAATGCAACCAAGGCATTTTTTAAAATAAACATTTCAAACCATTTACAGAACAATCAGCTGTTCTGCATCAAATTTGATGCCAAACAAATTATTTGTGTCACTCCAAAAAATAATTTCTGTCCACTATGAGATAAAGGAGAACAACAGCTTGATACCTGCAGGCCTGACAACAGGAGATGTATCACTCCTGTAACACCTGTAACATTCAGTAGTCGTCTCATTGTTCTGACGCACACAACAAAACTGTTGACTACACTACACGCTAACTACACAAGATTTGCGCTAAACGTCGCAAATCTCTCACATCTTAAAACACCGCCGCCATTCCTAAAACTTGCCCCCTTCCTAAACAACTAAATGCCATGTTGCCATATCATTTTTTGATTATTTTTATAATAACTCTGGTTTTACGTGGCCCATCAACACAATTTAAAAACTGGTATAAAGTTCACACTTTTTCTGTCAGTTGTTCCGTCTGTCCTGCTCACATCTCCAATGGTTGTGCACGTTGTCATTAACGTGGTTTCACTCCACATCAGCCACGCCGCTTTGCTAGCTAAAACACCAGTGTCGGCACATAAGGACGCTGTCATAGCCTGTCAACGACGTTCATTAGCTGCGTATATACGAATGTGAATCGCATTATTGGCTGGCCTATGGGATAAGGTGGCATCGTTCTAATTCCATACGGGAGCAGCCAGTCACTTACTGACTAACACTGCAAAACAGAATTGTTTAAGTTTTAATTGTAATTTCAATTCAGGTTAGATTTTTTTTTGTGCGCAACACAGATTTTCTGTGCGCAGAGACCATGCCAGCAGAGCGCAATTGCGCACGCGCGCAGCTTAGAGGGAACATCGATCACAGTCATTCTGATTACCTTTTTGCTTTATTCAAGGAATGACCAAATATGTCTTAGGAGCTTCACTAGCAATGCTCAAACTGCTCTTGTCAAGGTCTCAAACAATCTGCTGCTGACTCTGTGCTCTTCTCTATTTTCATTCTCCCTGACCTCATCTCAGCTTTGCATATTGTGGACCAGAACATTTAATTCAGTCAGTCTAAAGAACAGTGCTGGTATCAGTGATGTGACGCTGGATTGGTTTATGTCAGGTCCATCAAACAAGTAATTTTCAGTAATGACTGACAAAGCCTCATCTTCTCATTGAGTTGATTTTCACTGCTATGCAGGCACAAATGTCCTATAATCTGTTACCGCTGATATCTCACATATTAGGTCCCGTCTAGCTGAATTAGGGACTGGATGTCTAAAAACATTCTAAACCTGAATGATCATAAAATTGAAGTAATTATAATTATACCCTTGTCCCCCAGCACTAGCAGCACTTTTGATCTTTTTTCTAATCTGGGTCTCCTACAGTATTTAAAAATGTCTGGAGAGAGACTCATAACCTGGGGTAATTTTGGGTCCAAGCTCTCTCTTTTATATGCAGGTGTTTAAAGTTATGCAGTCCTGTTTCATTCCGCTTAGGCAGATATCATTCCTATCTCATTTTGGTTAAGGTCATCCATGCTTTTATGTCCTCTGGACTTGACCACTGTAATGCACTTTATTCATCGTCATAACATAAATAAGATACAAATAATTCAAACTGCAGCTGCCAGGCTTTTAACAGATAGCAAAATAAGTGACCAGATGAAATCAGTCTTTACAGCTCTTCACTTCCTACCTGTTAGCCTTAGAAATGATTTTACGGCTCATTTTTGAAGCCTAACTTTGTTAAGCACCTGTCTGCATATCTAAGCTGCTGTATCCATATGAAACTTCCTGCTGCCTGAAATATTCAGACATGTCTGATGCCTCTGCCTAATGACCTCAGGCTTCTTCTAAATGCATTTTTATTTTTTGGCTTTTTAAACCCACTAATGTCTTATTGAACAAAGCAACTTCTTTAATGAGCAAGATTGCATGAGTACTGGTTTCTCTTCAATTTGAAATTGCTTTTGTTTCTACTGAAATTATTTACTTTTAGTTGTTTGTGTAGTTCAGTACAACTTTATTTTGAAAAGGCCTTCATGAATACATATAAACTAAAATGTAAAATGTACTAGATGTACTCACATGCACTTCTTGCTTTCAGAATAGCCCAGCTGTATATCACTGCCTTCCTGCCTGCTGTGCCAGTGAGTCGCTGCTTTTCTCCTTAACCTTTATACAAACATTCAAAACCAATGTTTGACGTTTTTTGTGCTGTGCAATAATTTATTATTCTTCCATAGGCAATGTTTCTACATCATCTTCAGGTGTCTTACCTGCAGAACCAGGTCCATTTCTCTATTCCGATCCCGTACTGGTTTTACAGATATCGTAAATGTTTCTAAAACTAATTACAATTTTGGTGGAAAAGGAAATGTAATCACGCTGACTACATTTTGTATTCTCAGGGAATCATACTGCCACAAATGTATAGTGCTGCTCTGGCAAACATTGCAAATGTGGTGACAAACTATATTTTTATTCACTGGCTGGATCTGGGTGTTAGGTATGTGAACTCACACTCATATCACTTTAATGCTTTAATTCTGAATAAAAGAATTTAACACTGATATCAACCCAAATGTCTTGCAGTGGCTCTGCAGCTGCAAATACTCTGTCTCAGATTTACATCTGTACTTTTCTGTTTGCTTACATTTTGTGGAAGAGGCTTCATGTAACAACATGGGGAGGTATACTGAGAACAGTGATGATCTCATGCACCATCTTCTTCTTTTCCCTAGTTTTATATAAATGAGCGTCTCTCTCCCCCTGCAGGCTGGTCTGTGGAATCACTGCAGGACTGGGGCTCCTACATGAAGCTGGCTATTCCCAGTACATTAATGAAATGCTTTGAGTGGTGGGTTTATGAGTTTGGGGGATTCTTTGCAGGTAATCCTTTTTTTTTTCTTTTAGATGATCATAGACAATCTAAAAATATTTGAATCATGCCTGCTCTTTCTTCTTTGTCTGTAACAATCAGGAATGCTGAGTGGAAATGAGCTGGCAGCCCAGCACGCTGTCATGATGGTGACTGTCATAACATATATGGTAAGGTTTAATCACTACAAATCAGAGAATTCAATTCTCCCTTTAAAATATTTCTTTGGTTGCTTTGAACCACCTGAGAGCAAATTTTCTCCTATACTTTTTTCATAATAATGAATCCATAGTTCCCTCTTGGTATTCAAGCTGCGGCATGTGCCCGGGTGGGTAATGCTCTTGGTGCAGGAGACACCGGCAGAGCACTCCTAACTAGCAAGATGTCCCTTACTCTTGCAGGTCAGTTAGAAATGTATCGTGATTTATATTCGTTTCCCATAACTTTATTACCGTTATACAGATTTTGGAGCTCTTGTTTTCTAGGTAGCATTGCAGTTGTAGAAGGCCTTGTCCTTGGCTCCGTCAAAACAGTGATTGGCTTCATCTTCACGTCAGATGAGTGAGTTCAGCTGCATTCACATTTCACTAACAGTAATATTCCTAAACACTGTTGTTGCATTCAAAGATTGGCAAGGATGTGCAAAACCTTAATTAAACCTTTTTCTTTCAGGAAGATCATAGGTCTGGTCTCACAGCTGATGAATGCTTACTGTTTCCTTCAGTTCTTTGATGGTCTCGTGGTGAGTTTTAGTTACACTTGGCAGCGCGTGTATGCTCCTAAAAGCATGACAAGTAAATCTAATATAAAGTTTATCTCTGTTTCATCCAAGTGTGTGTGCACGGGCATTTTCTTAGGCACAGGGAAACAGAAGATTCCAGCTGTGGCTAATTTCATTGGATACTACTGCATAGGGCTTTCTCTAAGTATCACGTTGACATTCGTTGCAAAACTAAGAGTGTTGGGTAATTGCACAAAGTGATGCTTTTTTTGTAATTTACTAAAATGAGCTTTTAAAGTGAAGCTTGCCTTGCACTTAAGTAATTTGTCATTTTCTCTGCAGGTTTCTGGCTTGGACTGCTTGTTTGTGTCATTTTACAATCTACCTTCTACATTATTGTCATCTTTAAGCTGAACTGGGAACAAATCACTGAGGAGGTATCATATGAAAACAACCAATAAAGATACTGTGCCTCAAATTGAAGATCAGTTTATACTTAGCTTCCAAGACTCAAAAAATATTAATGAATCTATTGCTTACACTGACTTTTCATATTTACAGGCTGTGAAACGGGCTCAGAAAAATCCTTCGATATTAGGAAGAGCTCCCGTGACAGGCACTGTGGATAACAGCACCCAAGATCAAACATCAAGTAATGTGAGTCTATGTAACAGTTAAAGTTAGCAATAGCAACAATTAATCTAAATTTCTTGACATAGTTTTGTTTTTCTTAAAGCGTTCTTGATTACATTTATATTATGTTTTCTTCCATTACTGACATATATATATAGTACTGTGCAAAAGTCCTGAGCCACCCTTTGCTCTTTTGACATGACTTGCTTTTCTACTCATTTCAGTCCTTGTACATGGCCATTTTCAGAGGAATGATTTCCTTGTATTTGCTAGGTCACTTAGCACTTACCTATGAATCATGGAAGCTTCAAAAATGAAACTTTTTTTAGTCTTGTGTCAACATAACAGCTAAATTAGCAAAGAATGGATTTTAAACTGTATCTGTACCCATTTTCCCAGCAAAATATTTTTAAAAAGTGGAGAAATTAGATTTTTGCAGAGTACTATATACTATTGCAGTGGTGGATGCTCATATTCAACATGGCCAGATTTTCAAAGAGTAAGTAACCCCTATGTGCTAAAAGCTCAGTTTTCACACTTCTATATGCTGGATTGATTGCAAATGTTTTTTTTTTTCCCCTTTTCTTTGCTATGCATGATTGCAGTGAGCACAGCACGTCCTTCATACAGATACTTCATGCACACAGGTTATGACCACAGCAGTGTGACCAACCTGCTGGTGTTTTTGTTTCATTTTTCCTAGCTGATGGATGGCTATATGTCTGTGAGCACTGAGTGCCAAGACAGGGGCACTGTGGTGCAGGATCGAGATGTGACACAGAAGCTGAAGGGCAGCCGCCTCTCCATCACCCAACTGATCCTCAGGCGAGGCCTCATTATGTTTGCTGCAGTTGCACTTCTTGCTGTGGGAGCAGGTGTTCACTTCCTTGTGCCTTTGCCCGAGACCAACTCTACTGTGGACTCGATCAACACTACATATACTCCTGATCAAATTTTCTCCACCATGTTGGTGCCAGATGAAGAGTCAGAGTGAACAATAGATAACTGCAATGATTCTGTTTAATGTTGTAAGAACAGAAAATCTGATGTTGCCTTCTCAAACCAGTTTTAGTTTGATTTGTTTGTCTCTGCAAGGTGTTGTAAACTGAACACAGGCAAATATAATGCTCGTTCATTGATTAATCAAGAGACCATTCATTCATTTCCTGCTCGTCTGCCTTTGTGCCTGCTTGTGCCATCCGTTACTGTCTGCTTTGTAATGCAAATGCTAGCATATTGCTGAGACCTCCCAGAAAAGCAGCACTGGAGTTATTTCCCTGAACGAGACAGACATTACTCATGTTCAGGTAGCCAAGTTGGTGATAAGTAGGTTCAAAATAATACCGACAGCCAAGATGAACAACATGAAAGCTAGAGCCAAGCCTCTACGCAGAACCAGAGTCCTGAAAGAGAGCTCTCCTTCAGCTGTCCTCACTGTTGTTTCCACCTGAACACCCATCAGATCAGTGGTGTCTGCTTGACCCACTGAGTTACCAGAGTCTTCTAGTTGGGTACCTGGACATAAATATATGCAAATGTTCCATGTTAGGGATCATGAAATTATAATTGTTATTCAAAATATTGTTCACAGTTTGGAAGTTTTCTATATTAATTGCTGTATAATCAATATCTAAAATCTCTGAATTGTTTTTTGTTTGTTAGTTTTTTTATGGTTCTATCTGCTGATCCAACTGAGTGCTTTTTTAGTGTTGCCATAGATTTTGAAGTTAAAGATGTTAAAGGACATTTAAAAAAGATGAAGATCTTGGTTTCTGATTGTTTAGCAAATACCAATTTGCAGACAAAAATTTGGACTTTGAACATTTCATACTTTTAGACCATGCATGATTTGAAAAAAAAGTAGTAAGGACACTTACTACATACAAACATATCAAAATGACAACAATAATAAAATAGCTATAAAATATGTTATAGACCTTTAGTGTGTGTTAAATGTGTTTACTTCTACATGTAGATTGTGCTTTTTCTTAGTTTACCCTGTCTACAGCAACTAAAGCATGACACTTTTAGGATTATTGTCAAAGATAAATTGTAAGTCACACCACTTGGTGAAGTGAAGGTAGGAAAAGATTTTAGCCTTTGTTTAATATTAAAGAAGTTACTGGTGACATAATGCTGTCCTAACCTTTCTGCACTCAACACGTTTTATTGTGGCTACATAATTCAAATACACAAACAAGATTCATTAAATATTCTTCTAAAGGTATCTTTTAAACTCTGTATGTTCTACTTCCACACAGAACTGTTTTGTTTCTCGTGATGAACAGGATAAACACTTTTCAGCCAAATTAAATAATTTGTGAAAACTGTCCCTTACCTGTGTCTGTGGAGCTTACATGCACTCCTGCTCTGATCTGAGCCTGCAAGACGAATCAATGCGTGATCCTTTAATCATAAAGAGGCAGCCGAAAACTACTGAAAATTAAATATTTATCCTTAAACACAAACCTCAACTGTGACATTTTTCCAGTTCATTCTGATTAGATAGAAAATCAGGAATGAGCATTGCAGGAACACACAGGTTAACAAGCCTGTCCACAGACCTGAGGAAAACAAAACATGTTTTTTCTTTAAGAGGAGGAAGGAGATGTTGATGCTGTGGTAGAAATCAAATGAAAAAAAGAACTGTAGGGACAAAAATAACATGGATACAAACAGCTGATGGTTGAAAACATCTCACCCATGATTCCTAATTTGGCTGCAAACATCAGTGACACTCCAATCGGAAAGCCAACACCATAATATCCCAAAATATTGCAAATAGCTCCAACTCTCTGTTTGCCTGCTCCTCTTATTATGCCACACACGGCAGCCTAGTGACGCAAAAAGGATAAAGACATGGTTAAGTACCCACAAACACATACTTTATGGGATGTTTCTGGGGTATGGCAGATACTCACAGATGTTGCATCGAGTAGAATGAAAGGAGCATAAAAAGATAGGACATCTGAAACCCTTTGCCTGATTTGTCTGAAAGAAGAGAGTCAAAATTTTTAAAGTGAGACTGGTGAGTTTGTAAAAACATATTTTTGTGTAATTTGAGCCTTGTGCAACATTATACAATTATGCTGTTTTAGGAACAGGAAATATGTAAATAATTATCAGCACAGCTGAGTGCAGCTACCATAAACCTTTGTGTCTATTCAGTATAAGAGAGATTATGTAAGCGAAGGATGACAGTAACTTATGTAAGGGTAAAAGGTCGTTTATGAGGCCTGCTATCTCCCCTAGACTTGATACTGAAATTGCATGTGTAAGTGTAACCCATGCTGGTATTTCCTTCCTTTTTTCTTTTAAAGTAACAACTGCTGCGATTTATAAAACAAACAAAAAAAACCATAAAATTATATACGCACTCATCATATGTAAAAACATAAGAGATGTGGTCCTTTAGGCTCCCGATGAGAGTTGACAAACATATAGACACTGACACTGCAGTAAAGACAGAAATATAATTAAAGATTTACCTTTTTCGGGAGCAACATGCCTTAACAGTCTTTTTCCTTATAGGATCGAAACCCTTTCTCGAGGGCACATCATAGGTAGGTAAAGAGAAGTGAAAATATTCACGCTTTCTGCTAACATTTATAATTACGGAGACTGTTTAAAATTTCTAAGCTATTTTTGTGCTTCCTTCTGGAGAGCAAAATTGGAATTATGCAACATTAAATTATGTAATTAATTACCTTTAATTGACTGTCTTTAAAATATTTTCAAATGAATATTAGACAAAAAACTAACAAAAACAAAACACACGGCAAAGAAATAAACATTGATGCATTCTGACCTGCACAGAACATTGACATCTTAGCAGACAGCTTGGCCTGCTCCGTTTCTCCACCTCCCAAAGCATTTCCAACTCTTACACTGCCCGCTATGCTGAAACCCAAAGGGAACTAAAAATAAAAAGGTTGTTACATTGGATGGATGTAAAATGAGAAAATTCTTTATGAATAAAGTTTTTTGGCAGTGCAGAGGGTTTGTTCACATCAAAAGGGCTCACCATGTATGCAACATTTGCCAGTTGATACACAACTGACTGAGCTCCGAGTTCCACTTCATTTATGAGACCTGTCAATGACAGACAGCGGATAGATTTCAGAGCTGCTTTTCTACAGTCAAAGGCATCCCAAAGTGGCCTGTGGCATTACCTGCTAGAAAGCCTCCAATCTCATATGTCCACCATTCAACACATAGCATGACCATGCCAGGGACAGCCAGGTGGATGTATGAGCCCCAGTCCTGGAGGCACTCTCGAGACCAACCTATGTAAGTGTTTATAAAGTAGATGTTAGCAATTCCAAATGTATATTTAAATTAAAGTGCATACAAAAGCAAAAGAAATAAAATACTTTAAAAATTCTCTCAAAACAAATAGTAGTCATATAATAAACCAATAAATCATTTGTCAACCTGCTTTTCTACCACATGATTTAAAGCAAATCTCAATACGCTAATTTCCAGTTCTATAGTGTAGGATTATAATATTATTTTATGCCATGTTATACCCCTAATTAAAGATTGTGAATTATTATGTAGTTTTAGTTTGCATTATTCTCCTGAATTAGAAGAAG